TCCGTTAATTATGAGCAGTTGGGCTGGCCTTGATTATCCACATTTTATTGGGATGATCTATAAGTTGCCATAAAGGACTTCATTACTAATTTTATACCCTTGGTCACTTAATATATAAATCTATTTCAGTCTCGTCTAGGTCTCATCAGCACCATCAGTGGGATTCGGTGTCGGGTCGGGCAAAGTTACCACCCTAGTCCAGTCAGCGGCCACAGGTGCAAGTGAATTACAGGGCAGATGAGGCATTCAGCGCAAGCCAGGCCTCTCCTAACTAACATTTAATGGTGGGATTTTTTGATTATGCAAACATGTGTTTGCCATTCTAATCGTCGTTTCTTAATTCGATATGAGTGGCTTTCGATATTATCAGTTATGCCAAAATAAGAACTTAATTATTATTGGGCTCACTTTCATTTCGATGAAAAGTGTTTGGTATAGAGATTGGAAGGCTGATCCCACTAGAAGACGTCGGCTGATTTCTCCTGACCAGTTGGAGATTATGTGCTTCATATGATGTACATCACTTAACCAAATTCAAGTTAAGGATTCATGACGTTTTCTTGAATTTGATTGTGACGATGATACCTTGCTCTGATGATGTTCGTCACATGACGGACAAAAGCTTAACACCTCTTCACCGGAATCAAAAGGGATTACCTCGGAAACAGCGTCCACATGAATCTTCCAGTAAAGCCAATCGACAGCTGGTCTTCTGATGGAATCGACCTTCAAATCTCTTCACCAAACACTTTCACCCGAAATGAAAGTAAACACAACAACTAGACCGCTTAGTCGAGCGTTTTCCCACAACGAGATGAGTGCGCCTCACGACGCCTTAAACATGATGCATGCTGAGGGGAAAGCCCAGACAACGGACTGGTGTATCTACCGGGGAAAGGATATGCTCTCTCTTGATCGGCTTGCTGGCCTTTAGATGACTGGTAGGCAGCCCAGAGGGAATTGCAGTGACGTCGCCAAGCCTGTAACAAGGTTGGCTGTGCCGGCGATTCACACCGACTAGGGGATAGGCGCAAGTACCGTTGATACTTGGGCAGAAAGGGTGAATTGGCTTTCGTCCACCAACAACCAGTACTGAGGTGGTAGGAGGAGGGTAATAGCTGCACTGGTAGGTGTAAGGTAGGCCGCCTGATTGAGGATAGGCTGCGGCCCGGCTGCGGGAGCCGACACGGACCAGGGCTCGAGGGAAGCCCGAAGCACTATAGCCAGCTCTAGGGATCACACTGCTATAGGCTGGGATGTGGGGAAGAAAATTGTGTTGAGACCAACTCCGTCTGCGGGATGACTGGCCAGAGTAGGGCTCCGTCTCCAGACGCGTCGAAAACGGCTGTATAAAGAGAGAAGTTAGGGCGTGTCGAGAGTCGGAAACGCCGGGAATTTTGAGTATATGAAACGTTTTTGTGGACCACGAATTGGTACGGTGATTTGAATAAAGAAGGATGAAAGGAATGAAAGAGAAGTGGCCAAAGATGGCGAGGGAAATGCGTTACGAGGCTCAGAAGAAGGCGGAGAATGCATGATTTTCATCATTAATATGCGTTTTTAATATAATCGGGGAAAGAGGGAACAGAGAGAATGGGGAATGAAAGGAGTATGCGGTCAAAAACCGAGTGATTGTCAAAGTCCGCAGCATGTAAATCAATAATTTAAAAACCAATTCAGGTAGGCCAACCTACTAAACAGCTGCAATCTTATAATGCCCTGAGGAATACAGTTAGGAAAGTAATTGCAAAGGAGCAAACAGAAAAATACTGAGAAAAACTGGGTTCCGATGAATCTCTTGAGATAACATTGTTTGGGGAACTTTTATTTGTATGAAAGTGAATAAAGAAGAGATTCATTGGTCGATCTCACAAGATGAGGACAGAGGAATCTTGTTGTACTGCAGCCGTTTGGCTTTTATACGATATTCATTTTGACGCAGTTCACAAGACTTCCTGCCTCGTTTCGGGTGAAAATGTGCTGAGCATTTGTCCATCATATGATGGACATCATCAGAGCTGGGTGTCATTCTTGTAAGAGTCTCACGTTAACGCTAGGCCACGAACACTATCTGGCTCTATCTTACTTCCTATAAAGACTCAATTAAGCCAAATGAAAATTAAAAACCAAGATAGATCGATATAGAGTGGTTTGGTTAATTTTCTTTCATACTGGTCCTGTTACTTTTGCCCGATTATATGAGTATGTGTGTTTGTGTGTGTTAGCGGCTATATGCAATACGGTTCCTAAATTAGAGTTGTCAAAGTTTTAATCTCAGGTTCTGGTCCTCAAGACCTAATGACCCAAGAGAAAGCCTTGATCGAGACTGCGTGAGTCCGTAAACAAGTATGGTTGAGATAATGAGATATAAGCTTGTAAGCATGAAAATCTAGTTACTAAACCACTTGTCTTAACCTTTTAGTCAAGGGTCATTAACGTATAACCCTCAAAGGAAAGGCAAGACTGAGGTTGCGTAATCTGACATGTCTGGTTTGGTTGATGAGCTTACTCTAACAGTTTGCACGAATGTGGGTGAAAGTGAGCAGACGAATTGAGTCACCTTCTTTTTGACGGCGGCTCGACACTCTCTCTCTCTTTCAATCTATCAATCAAGCCCAAGCAGTTCCTACTCAACTTTGTAACACCGTTCCTCACATTCGACG